CCACCTTCATCAACAGTTACCAGGGAAAGCCTATCCCCACAATGTTCAAAGTACATTCCCCTGGAAATGCAAAGGCCTATACAGAAGCCTCCCAAATAGGAACATTTCCAAATTTTACAGAAACTTTACTTCAAAGTCTTCAAAAACATTTAGCACACTGAGAAGCAAAAAGCCTTCCTGCCTCCGGGGGTGAATGATGCAACGAAACATCTGCTATATTGACCATACTGAGGTTGGGAACATTTGCTTCAGGTCAAGACTATGTTTTCAGATGCACTACAGGGAAAAATCAGGAACTCACTATTGCAATAGTCTGGAAAAAAAAATCCACTTGGCTAGAAAGACCCACACTGCAGGACTCCTGTAACTTTTAAAGAGACAATGAGCAGACTAATTTAACTTAAGAACTGCCTGTTCAAGATCCAGGCTGTACAATGAAAGGAATTCAGGTCTGAGAAAAGCAGCATTCCTCCTCTCCATGGAAAAATGCCCTGAGAAGATCAGGGAGCCCTTGAAGGGGCAGCATGAGACCCACTATTAGACATTTGGGACACCTCAGGCTAAGCCATGCTGGTGTCAGCTGAGTTGGCACAGGAAGCCACTCACTTCATGAGGCTGTCTGGAGGAGAACTTTGGCTGCTGCCTTACTGATCCTGCTTCTTGCTCTCCCAAAGGATTTGCAAACCAGGTAAACAGGCATCAGAGAAACATAACAAGCATCCCAAGAACCAGTCTACAATATGATGTCTTCTCTGCAAAATGAAGGGCCATAGTGTCTCCAAACCAAGCTGCTATCCAGGCACCTACCACTTACAGAGACATGCTGCAGAATGGATTCAAACCACACAGACCACACTCTGCAATGATAACCTTCTTTCTACTCCCTTGCAAGGACCTCAAACTCAGACTGTGATGTCTCACTACTTGTCACCATCACAAAATTGTCCTCATGGTTGGCCAGGGTGGATTTTAGATAACCAAGATCAGACTTGTTTTATCTACCTTATTAGCTCATCATCTTGGCTGGTAGCTTTTATCCTCAAAATTTATTCCAGAAATTTATCGTATTTAATATTTTTATATTGGTCTCATAAAGAACAAATAGCATGTTAAACACTGTTGCAGTCCAATGCAACCCTTCATTTCAAAGAAAATCATGCACATTTTATATGTTTTATGTTTTTAGATAAAGTATTGATCTACTCTATTGATTCTGTCCATTTTAAGCTACTGCTATAAACTCAAAATATTATTTCGTATTGTCACACTAGAATGTCAGCATCTTCCTACTTCTACCCAAATAAAAGTTCAATTCAAACCATACAAACCACCTCATTTAAAAAAGTTACAGCACTCAATTTTTACTTCACAAAGACTTTGCTAATTTTATAGTGAGCTTGATTTTTAAAACTGTATTTGTACAATTCAAATGGAAAGAAACCAAATGGCTTTTCTCCCGCTAACAAGGGCTTGTGGACCAGCACGCTGCTCTTTGTTTCTGTTACTGTACCAGTGTTTCGACTTTCACCAGTCTCCATGCCAGTAAAAAGACACAATAAAGGAATTCAGACTCAGTCAAGGTTTACTGTGTTCTTTTCAAACACAAGGGTAAGGGTGCTGCTAAAACCACAGAAGAACATTTGTAGCAAAGGTTTTACCACTGCCAAATACTATGCTAATAGTAAAGCTTTCAAGGAGAGAGTCAGGGCTGGCCATGCTCAGAGGATGATTAAGATATGCATCAGACTTATGAAGAATGGAGCAGGAAATTCAGGAATGGAAAAAGCAGCAATCTCTCTGCTGCTCCAGAGCGGCTTCATTACAGTCACTTACCAAGAGGTGGGCAGAAGTAATCCCTTTCCAGTATTTACAATTTCACTTAAATTTAGCACAATGCTATAAATCTTGCCCAAAAGCTATTAAAGTGATCTTTTCTTCCAAAGAGCTTTTCAAAATAATATTTAATTCTTTAAATAAAATACATTTTAAATGTGAGGATTTTTATTATATCAAAATAATTTACACCTATGTATTTACACCTACACAACAGGACAACTGACCAGAATTTGGCAAGTATTTACCAGCCCTCATATGGGTAAATAACACAGAAACACAAATACCTCAGAGGAAAAGTTGAGCTGATGTATTTCTTAAAAAGTGTTGTTTGATGGCTTTTGGGTTTTTTGAAGTGTGTGTGTATAGACTGACATGAAATATTTTAATGCCTCTTTATTTAAATTACAAAAGGACAGCTTCACCTATTTACATGCAAACAAATACTTCAGACACCCCTACTATCCACCTCCCTTGATACAACTAAAGCAATGAATGTGTAAATCAAGAACACCTGAAAGCAGAGCTCCAATCTACCCAGGTCAAAAAATGTAACAATAATTATTGTATCCTTTATTTCTCTTTTTTCTCCTTCATCAGATCTCTTCTCCTCTCTTCCTGCTGATCTCAATGGAAAAAGATGGAGTCCCCAATGGCCTGCAGACAGTTGAAGGTGCTGGAGGGAAGACGTGTCCCCTTGTATAGTTTTCCCACTCTTTTCTTCTCAAGAGGAGGAAGACACATTCAGAAGATATCAGAAAGCAAAAACTTGGGCTGTGTGTCCTCCCAGAACTGTCATTGCTCCTGCCATATGCAGGAGGCAGAGAAAGAGGAAAGCCGGGCATCAGGCACATCCCTTCCAGGGGAAACGTGGGCAAGCACATGAACACCTCAGAGCAATGAGCAGCCTTTCAAAGCCCAGAGAACAACATAATTTCTTTTCCTTTCACTGAAAATACAGAAACAGGATGTGATTGAGTTTCCCATCACTGCAAAGGGCTCCCATGCTGCCAGTGTCACAGTGATGCAGTTTTTCAGGCAGGTGGCCACTGCAGGAGGGCTCAGCTACACCAAATGGAATTCAAAGCTTTGCTTTCAAATGTAATTCACTCCTTATTTCCAGGGAAAAAAAAAAAGAAAAAAAGAAGTACTAAGGAAAATACTCTTACCATCTGACACAGCTGGTCTTAGTAAAGCGAGTAAGAGGAAACTTTCATGCTAGGAAATCTCTGACATTTAATATCAGGAACATAAAAAACTCAGAAAATACCCTAAGTGTTGAGAAAAAAAATGTGCAATCCACCGAGATCTTCCAGCACAGGCAGAACCTGAGGCAAAATCATAAAAACTCAAGTCTAAGCACAGAGCCCAGTGAAAGCATTTCCCTTCTCTCCAGCCAGAGCTGCCTCATATCACAGTTGCAGTAGAAGGAGCCTTTCAAAAAATCACAGCAATCAGGACCAGAACAGGCCACTGCAATTTTTTGCTTCTCAGCAAATGCAGCAATTGATAAAGAGCACAATTTCCAGCTTCCCTACAGAAAAACCAGATGTTCTGCAGCATGGTGAACAAGCAGTGAATGCTGTATAGATGTCCATTTTAAGAAGTGATTAACAAATACGTGTCATTGCACAATATGACATCTGGGTGTGAGTTTCAGGTTTTCTGCATTTCTGCTCAATAAGAAATGGTTTACTTTGGTGACTGTAGTGCTCCCCTCTCCTTGTTTCTGATTTTATCCCTGTTTATCATTTACAAGACTACCTCAAACTTTACTTCACTCTTTCAATTTCAACTACAAAGTTAACAACTGATTATGATTCTAGTGCAAGATAAAAATACAATTCACAGAAGAACAAAATTCTGTGAATATTACTTCATGCTACATTTCAACAACAACCAAAAAATCAGGAATTTGCTTCACCATCAACTCCTCATGTTTCCATATAGCAGTGTATCAGGCCCATGTATGCAAGATACTCAGTAAGTGTCAGCTACTGTGATTAAAAACTAGGTTACTGCAGCCTTCACTGGATACCACAGGAAGGGGACACAGAGGAAAGGGTGGCTAATCTAATCATTCACACAAAGGAGCAAAGGTCACAGATGGATCATTACCTCTTGAAGACAAGAAGCAATTAGTTTTATAACAAAGATGAATTTCAACATTAATAATAATTGCTTTTAAAGTGTATGTCACAGAAAAGTAGTGGGGGCTTCTTAACATTATTATGGTGAGTACTCACACACATATTAAAAACTTAAACAAGATTTTGTTGTTTACTTAACCTTCCCTCCTTCAGACAAATTTGTAATAGCCCTTTCTGAGCTGGTCCTTTTCCATTTCTTTACAACAGCTTACAACATTACTGTTACAGAAATCTAGTATTTCTGATTAATACTCTATTAAATGCATGCTCTAGGTATTTGTAAAGACCACACAATATCTTATATGTTATAGTTGTAAGGAATTCACTAGTTGGTTGTACACCTAATTCTATAATATCTTGGCAGTTTACTCTGGAGTCACAGATAAAAGTCTGTTACTCTTATTCCATGAGGACCTTTCTCTCTTGAAGAAAAGTTCAGCAAGAAGTAGACCTAAGAGTATTCACAATACAAAAAATATTGCTGTATAGAGGCAATACCAGTTTTCACATGCCCAATATATCAGTTTCCACATTTTACTGAATATGTGCATCATGAGAACGAGGTTCTAGAAGAGCTATTGAAAGCCATTGTGTCTTAATCTGTTTCTCTAATATTTTGAAAAATTGAGGTTTAAAGTGTGTCCAGACATGGACTTCAACTAAAACTCCCTTGAGCCAGGCAGTCTTACTTGACATTTTAGAAAAAAAATTCTCATGGTCTGTAAAAGAAAGACAAGTAGCATTGCTAACCATTTACATGCCTTTAAAACCCTCCAATGTTTCTCCATGGTTCTCAATCTTTTTAAAGTTGTTGTATTCTTAAAAAAAAAAAAATTGTCTCTCACTTATATACCAGAAAGATCCTATGGTAGCCATGAAGGCTACCTGAAACCTGCTGACAAGGATGGGGATGAACCAAGAATGGGTAGGTTTTGCCCAAGAGGGTTATGTGGAAAAAGATAAGCTGCCATCTTACACATCAGTGCTTTGTAAGGGAGACTATGTCACATTGCTCACCCATGCTCATCTTAATAGGTAAATTTTCTCTGCTTGCAGCCTCCACAAGGTGTCTCCTGGCCTCCATCACAGCTTCCTTTTGTTTGAGGTTCATGAAGGACTCCCAGAGAGCTTTGGCAGCTGGATCACTGTAAGAAAATGACATGACTATACTAAACATTGCTTGAATAATGGAGTAAACTTACATCAACATTTATGTTTTGAGATGAATTCTTCTACTTATTAATCTCTCAGGTAGGATACAAGCAAAAATAAAAGTAATATGAAAGCTTAATTATTCTTAGCAGAACAGTAGCTACAGTTTTACAGAAAAGCTAGATTTTTTTGCTACCAATTATAAAGCATTAGAATTCATATATAATGAATAAGCATGTCATTCTAAAAGTAAGCACTACTGTTCAACCATAGGAATATCAGAAACAGTCCAAACTTCTTCAGTTACTAAAAGGCTATGGAAAGGATAGGCTCTAACTTCCCCACAAGAGTTTATATCCCAAAGCTGGTACTCCCAGTGCTGAAGGCTGTTGTTATAATTTTGATGAACTGTTGTCACTTTGGGTTTCATGGATTCTCCGTATGTGAAATGAATAATCCACAGCAGAAATTATCTGTCCTTATGATTTCTGCAATTACAGATCTTCTTTTTGTTGTTGCTGCTAAACTTAAATTAGGCATTTTTGTAGTTCCATCTGTACTCAGTTCCCTGTCAGTCTTCTCTTTCCTCCAGGACACTGCATTTGTTGCTAGTGTGAATGAATTCAGTGTTCTTTCAGTGGCAAGGGACGATAAGGTAGGAAAATCCCTTGTTTGGGGCTAAAGCCACACATTGGGATTAACTATGCTGATTTGTTTTTTCAATGTATTTTTTGTTTTAAAGGAAAAGCTTCCCTCTGTTTTCTCCTCAGGAGACATTTAACTCCTAAAGATATTTTGATGTCATTTACAACATGCTTATAAACATGCCAAAACAAGCTTTGTTTCATGGAAATAGAAACTCATAATAATTCATTTGATACCCATTCCCGAGCAGCTGTTCTTATGCTCTGCTGCAACAGCAGGGCTGTATTTAGCAAATCTGTGCTGTCTCCCAAACCAGGTAAGAGGATCACCAAGCCCCATTTCTGACATCCAAGAAACCCACATCCTCTGTCAAAGCCTATGTGGGTGGAAGGACTGTGGGAAAAAGGTTGAGTTACCCTTCTTCTGACCAAATCACAAATGAACAGGAAGCACAAATTTCACCCTACTGCCATGGGTGGCAAAGGGAAAAAAAAATCAGATGACCTAACACAGTACTTCCCTTTCTCCTTCTAAACACAGAGGCAGGAGGCAGTACCTCCTAAAAACAGCTGGGGCACCTGCAGCAGCTCCTTCTACTCCATCACTAAGCACTGTCTGAGCACTGAGCACTTTTCATGGGCAGCAGCTCCAAGAAGATTCCTCACAAGAAAAAACTACAGGGATATGTAACATACAATAGTGCAAGACATGAGAGATTTCCAAAACAACTGGATACTTCAGTACAATGTAAGAATTTCTTTATGGAAAGGGTTGTCAAGCACAGGCACCCCAGTGAACTGGTGGAGTCGCCATACCTGGAAGTGTCCAAAAATTAGTAGATCTGGCACTTTGTGGTATGGTTTAGTGGGCATGGGAGTACTCAGTCAAAGGCTGGACTCTGTGATCTTGGAGGTCTTTTAATAGCTCAGATTCTGTGATCCTCAGGTATGCTATTTTTACAGATTATCTACTCAATCTACTCCCCACCCAACATCACTTGTAAATGCAGTGTTGATCCTGTTCACATCACATTCACAGGGCACGTCTCGCTGTCATTTACAACTGTGCTTGAGGTTTGGATTTTACAAGGCCACTGCATTGCCTGATAACCAATCCCTTCCTGGATATACGATTCCAATACCAAATCTATAGAGATCAGGAACGAACCTGAAACAGCAGGAAGCTAGGTTTAAAAATACTTTTTCCCCATTTGGAAGAAAAAAAAGCAAAAGTTTCTGTTTAAGATCTTTAACTTGTTCTCATTCTCACAGTTCCCTTCATCACCCTAAATGTAAGGGCAGAGTCTCACATAAACAAGATACCAGGAGCTAAACCTTGCAAACATAGGAAAACAAGCAACATAAGGGAGCTAAAATAAAAGCCTACCAGATTTTGCACAGGTTTTTGTAGTCTAATTTTTCTCACTCCTATACTTCATAAAGATACTTAGCAAACAGTAAAGTGTGGAAAACTCATCATAAAGCATCTAAAGAAGCCAATAAAAGAGTGCATGTGATAAAGTTACACCATTTTTCCATAATCCTTGCTTGCTGCTCTCCCTCTTCACATCATGTGTGGATGGGTCCTGTCACTTTGGGTGGCAAGGTCTTTGAAAGCAACATGTATCATACTATATTGTATCATCACTACCAGAAGTACCTGTTTCAGCTGGTACTTCTACTTGTTAATAAACTATAATACTCCTCCAAAATAACAGACCCATTATTTTAAACTAAACAAAGAAACAAAAATTAAGAATGAGTCATACTAATGATTTAAGAAAAAAAAAAAAGGGGGGCGGGTGTGGATTTACTTTTTGCTTTCTATATTCATTCTTCCTCCTTTAGCCACAGTAAGTTTTTTTTTAATCCCAAGGACCAAAGTTTGCAGGATCCCTGAGGGTTGCTTTAATACACAAAAAAGAGCAAAAAGCAAAACAACTACAGTCCTAAAGGAGAGGAGAGTCAACCAAACCCCTGTATGCTACATCTCTGTCATCCAGATTTTCTGTAGACATTTTTCTTCCCAGTGCTTTGCACAATAATTAGTGGTTTAAGTATCATAGATATAACTATATATAAGCAGGATGAGGTCAATGTATATCAATAGCTAACACAGTCAACTGACTAGGTTAATCCACAGAAAACAATTTTTAAGCTCAGTCTTTTTTTTTTTTTAATATAACGGGAAAAACAAGCCACAGAAGTACTTGTATTTTTTCTGCTGCTAACACTTTTCCTGTTCCCCCTCTATTACCCTTTCCAATAAAGCTTATTGCTTTGAAAAACACCCACTCTTAACCTTCATCAGTAACAAGACAGGAATGACTGCTGGGAATGAGTCAGTAGGACACAGTACAGGGCTCTGGTGTTGACTCCTGCCTGATCTGAGAAGTTACCACAGCATTTTCCTTTTAGAGATTTCTAACACTCGGGAAATATATTATCTTATCTTACCCTTTCGGGAAAACATTTGTCTGCAACTGCCTTCCAGCTCTTGTCATGGTGCCCTTCCCCTCCACTTTTTTCCCATCTGCAGTTCCTTTGCTTTGGTGCAAATGCCCCAATCTAGTGACAATGGTAATCAGTGATTTCTAAAGAATCGAGCATCCCAATTCAAATTTCTCCCTTGTCTTGCATTCTTTGACTTCCCAAGAACTATGTACTGATTTTACATTTTATCTTATATTATATAATACACATAATCTTGTATTATATTTTACACATTAAAGTCAACATTTTTACTCTGAAAGTAGTTTTCTGAAATGAAATAGTTGGGTTTTTTTCTAAATATTCAATGCATTACAAAACCCTTAATAGATATTGTCTGAATGATGATGGCTTGCTCATGAAAAAATAAATCCTTTACAGTTACACAGCAGTACATCTCAGGAATTCAAAAACACCCTTCAAAATAACTGTCACAAAAATAGGTAAATATTACAGTATGCACTTGTGTGTTTTTCTATTACAAAATGTTTTGTAGGGCATGGCAAACCTGACAAAGAGAACACAAATTCAGGGGCCTCTCCAGTAAATCAGTTTCACCAACAAGGGTAGAGTTTCGCTCACAGATTTGATACCCTGTCCATTTCTTTTATCGCAACAGTCATTGTATTGTACCTAATCAACCAGTTATATCAGAAAACAGAATTTAATAGGAACAACTGTAGCAGTAACCTGGCAGAAAAATTATTAAACAAAAATATCATACTAAGTTCTGAGAAAAAGCATAAGTCTCTGAAAAGCCCCATTGGACAGAGTTATACCATTCAATTTACATAAAGCAGCCTTTGACAGACATCTCAAAATTGCAAATTTCTCCCTTCCCCTCACACACAAACTTTTCTAATGAAACATTCTCTGTTCCAAAACTAATTAAAATGTAACTGCATATAATTTGTACTTTAAAACGACAATGAAAAAGATTATAAAGAAAGAGGGAGAAATCTAGACAACTAAAAGATGCAGCTCCCCTACTTCTGGTATTTGCATGCCAGTTTTCAAAGCTGAATCAGGAAGACAGAGGGGAAAAGGACCGAGTCATCAGATCCATAATCTATACAATGAGACACCAGCTGGCAATTGTGCCAGGAGAAAGGTGCTGATGAGAACCAGTCAGAAAGACTGGAATGTTCCATGTTGACTAAAGCTTGATGCAGGTGCTTCAAGAAGAGATAGAAAAACAAAAATCAAAATCGATAATAAAACGATTTAGCCATGAAGTGGCTAACTAGCTGGCTTCTCAAATTTATAATATCCAGAGGAAAGATGACACAATGAAATCTGTTGTTTAGAAGACGCAGGGTGAAAAAGTCAAAACCCTGAGCAGAAGTAAGGGTACAGTATGGTAAGCAATCCTTTTGGTGATGGTGCACTAGTTTCAGCAATGCTTACTGTGGGGGAGCTTGCTCTCATTCCCATGGAACTCCTTTCACTAACGTGTTCTTGTAACTAAACTGATTTGTTTGATCTAGACATTTACAGGTTGATTATCAAATGCCTAACCTTGCATAGGTTAAAATAACTGTAACTTACTCTCTTGATCTGGCCTGGTGCAGTCCTGCTAGGACAACACTGCCAAGTTTATCTGACAGAATGTATCCCTATCCCTGATCATCTGTAGCCTTAGCATCAAAACTATTCATTTTGAACAAATTAGGGGAGAACAGGGGAGGTTGGTGGCATTGGGATGTGCTATTACCAAGCTGGAGACAGTAGTCTGGAAATAGGTGAAATCAAGCACCAGTCAATGGAGAGCAAACTCTCAGAGCAGATACAAAACTAGAGGCAAAGACAGAAATCTGGGGGCACTTACCCTGAGGGGGCGCAGTGCACAACACCATAAT